TTAATATTGGTTTTTATTTCTGGTTTTATTTTTGTTTTTAATATTGGTTTTATTTTTGTTTTTAATATTGGTTTTTATTTCTGGTTTTATTTTTGTTTTTAATTGTGGTTTTTATTTTTGGTTTTAAATTTTTTATTTTGTTTGAAGTTTGAATGGCGCCATTCCTTGACACCGCTATCTTTCTATAGCCTGGAAGTTGGGCCGCCATTGGTTTTATGATTTCAATTTTTTTGTGTGTAAGTTTTTTAAATAATCTTGTTTTTGATTTTTTTTCTTTGTTTCTCACAGTGTCAATTGTGAATGATTTAAAAATCACGTATTAAATGAACGGTGCGATTTCGAGTCGAAATGGCTATTTAGAATTTCAACTTGTTTTGTGTTTTCCGTTGCAATTTTTAATGAATCAGCAACATTTTAATACGTGATTTTTATTAATGCTAAAAATAATGAGGATTTCAATTAATTTGTATTTTGCTATCCAAACATTACTTTATTTAAAATGACTGAAGTTTTATTTATTTATTGGTTTATAAATCGGATTATGGTCTCAAGAAATTTGTATTAATTAAGTGGAATTTCTAACTTGCTAATTGAACTTAACAAAATTGAAAAATAGAAGAATTTAAATGGCAAGGTATGAGTGTTTTCGATAATTTTAATTGTAAATTAACTTTGTATTCGAATTTATTGAATTTCTCTTACTCTGAAATTATCTGTACAGGAAAAAAATGATAAAATTCATGATCAGGTAGGTTTCAATCATTTTTTTGTTTCATTTATTTTTACTTGTTTTTCCAATAGATTTTCTATCAAACTGATATGAACGTTATGAATGAATCATTGAAACATTTTGATCAAAATAATATTCTTGGAATTTTGGTGAAAAATGCAATTGTCGATAAATTGATTGAATAAATTAAAGAAGCAAATGATGAAGGTTTAGAACTACCAAATCAACAGATGATAAAAAATGAAAAAAAATTATTGGCTATCGGTATTGGAAAGAATCATTTATAGTAAGGAAAATGAGAATTTTCTCAAACATATCGAAACAGTGACTAAGTTTGACATGATCATGAACGAACATGAATGATCAATGAAATGTTTCATTCTCACATCGTTTTATTCAATTTTCTGGATTTTGTCATTAAATTTTTATTCCAACTTTTGGGCCTCGGTCTCACAACGATAAATTTCAATTAGCTAATCAATTACATGCCAAAATCATCGTGAAAACATTGAGTACATTTATAATCAACGCATCTTTTTAGTTTAATCTCATTATTTTTACTTAGATATTTAACAAGAAAAAGTTATCAACTGAAACAGCTGCTAAAAAAATTATCAGGATCGCTCGCCAAATTTTTCAAATGAAATTTACCACGAAATTACCGCCAATGAAATGCCATCACCATTACTTTTATTTTAAAATGAACAGAATCTATCACGAACTGTATATATCGATATCCAATTTTTCACGTGTTGACTCATTGATAAAACATTTAGTAAAATGCAAATAAATTTTGGATTGCTAAACTTTAAGATGAAAATTTAGTCATTATTGGAAAAAAACTGAATTATCGATTTGGGATTGATCAATAACTGGTTCGCTGATATCGGAAGCATCATCCGATGTAATAGTATTCTTTGCCAATGAAGATCCATAATAAAATTGTGAAACAAGTCCCACCATTGAAATTGGAATTGTTACAGAAGCTGTTATAAGCGATAAGTTTCGGTAATCTTATGAAAACAATCGGATACAATGAAAACAATATCGAAACCACATATCTTTTTTGTAATGTTGGAATTAAAAATATTATTTTTATGTATCTCTTAATACCACGAAATCTTAAACAAGCAAGTCCGAAAAAGTCTGAAGCTGAAAAAATATAAACTTTACATCGTTTTCAATTCAAAAAATTGCTTGATTTTGTATTTCCATTATCATTTATTTAAAACTCATATAAACATTGCAATTAAGCCAATTGTGAATATTCGTTTTTTCGAAAACCTTTTTTTTGCTCAATAAAAATTTTGCGAAGGGGGCGCCATTTTTTGGCTTGCACAGGGGCGCCTAATACCCACGGCTCGGCCCTGTCAATCATCATCATCAACAACAAATATTTATGAATGTTATCTACATTTGTTAATTTGTTATCTAAATATAATCTCATTGGTTTAAAATATTTCTGTTGTTATTGCTTATTTTGTTTTTTTTTATTACCCAAAATCGATCAGATCAATGGTAATTTATGACAATTTTTTCACTAAAAGGCCATATCAGTCTATCCAGATA